TTAGCTGGAATATCAAAAGGATAGGGATAAATTACTGTAGAGCTTGTAGACACTGGTGGCAAAGTATATGTAAACCCATACTGAATGTACTTTAGGTATAAAAATGCAGTGTGTTTTGGGGAATTTTGGGGTGGGGAGAAGGAAGAATTTAATAATGCTGCTAATTTCCAAACTGTTGCTGGCTGCAATTTTTTAAAAAGGGCTTTTTTGTAAAAACAGTGTAATACTCCTGGGCAATGTGCATCAGCACACAAGCTTATTTTTTTTGATTGTTGGAGACAGGGGCAGATGTTTGCAACTAGTGATGGGCTCGGGCGTGTTCGCAGCTCCATGTGCCGAGCTGGCCAGGAAGCTGACAGCGTGCAGTGCCAATCATAGGCACTGAGACATTTCCCGATCTCTGCAGCTGCGGACCGGGAACATGTCTCAGTACCTGTGATTGCGCGCTGTGCGCTTCCTGGCATGCTCGGCATGTGGAGCTGCAAACACGCCCGAGCCCATCACTATTTGCAACCCCATAACAGGAAGTGATCAACAAGGACCTTTATATCAGTATCACCAGCTGTTATACAAACTGTATATGACATTTTAGTGGTTGTGTTTATCTCTATTTTAAGAAACTATGTTTGAGCTCTTTGAAATGGGGTGCTGCAGTATATTTTATTATGAGCCGTGCCTGTGTACACAGATCTGTTTATATAACAATTGTTTCTGTCTGTCTGCAACAACTGATGTGCTGTAAACAAAGGGAAGCTTTGCCTGTTTAAGTGTCAGGAAGCCCGAAAGGAGTGGACTGCATCTGTGCATGCGCATGGCATGGCCAACAGTGTCAGGCCGAGCCATGCACCTCTTTGCAGACGCCCCTTGCGCCCGCTAATCCATGACTTATAGTGGTACCAAATGGGCTATTTAGGCTCAGCCCCTCCATGTCTCCAGTGCTAAGTACTCTTCAGCTGTGTGCCTTGTATCCTGTGCCTGTTTCCTGTCATGTTGTTTCTTGTTCCTGACCTTGGACTTGTTATTGAGCCTGCTGATCTTCCGGTGTCCTGACCTTGGCTCGTCTGACAATTCTTCTGCATCCTGCATGTCTTGCGTTGTCTGCACGTTACCGACCCTGGTCTGTTACCCGACTATGAGTTTGTCTCTCGCTGCATCACCTTCCTTCCTGCACATTGCTGACCCGGTCTGGCTGACTTCGATCATCTTCTACCTGCCTCTTTGCTGTGCGTTTGTATTCCATTGTACAGCAGAGCAGCTACAGAACTTGCTTCCAGCATCCAAGTCATCATCCGGCACTCATTCCCAGAGTACCTGTATCTATAATCAGGCCTTCTGGGACCAGAGTTGCAAGAGAGGCCGCCCTCATCATCTCAAGATCCATAAGGTACGTGACAGTAAGCAACAAGTGTCAAAGCCCCGTTGTGAAAGGGCATATAGGTTTTCCTCCTGCAGCTATGCCTATAGTGCAGAGGATCCAACTGCCATCGGGGAATGTGGCAAATAATTTCTCTGTACCTCTTTTTAAGAGTGGATCATTTTGGTCCCACTCAGGGATAGTTGCAGTGGATTCCACAGATTTTCCCTTGTATCAGGAAGGGGTGAAATATCCCCCTTGAAGCCTCATCAAAAAGTGTCCACATGCTCACTGGCAGCACTCCAACACTTCTCCTAACCACCAACACCCCAAAGCATAGCTGCTATGCATCCCTGAGGAGGAGGAGGAAAAAAAGGACACGTAAGGAGTCAAGAGTAATGGCTGATATGCAACGGAGGAGGAAGAGGAAAAAAGTACATTCAGGCCCAAAAACATGGCTGCTTTGCATCCTTGAGGAGTAGTAAGAAAAGGTTGATAGAGTCTTAAAAAAGCCAAATCCTGAAACAAAATTTAAAATCCCTAGTAAAATACAATAAAATATACCTTCACAAAATAGAAACCTTGATTTTGGCAAGGGCAGGCATCTTTGGACTAGGGTTGTACACAGAATTGCTGCTGTTTGACTTTCCCCTAGAATGTAGGATTTTTCCTTCATTTGTGCTGCCTGCCTGTCCCCCTACATTGTGGAAGGGTGGGCAGCCTATGGTCATAGGTTTAATTCCTGCCGCTATTCCTATAGTGCGGGAGATACCTGCTCACTCGGGAAATGTGGCAATTTCCTTTTCCTTCTCACTGCCAGCACCTCAACCTCTTCCTCCTCAATATTAGCACTCCAACACTCCTTCATTTTCTCTACTTGCACCCCACTCCTCTTTACCACCAGCACCCCAACATTCCTCACTGCCAGCACACCAGCCCTTTTTCTGCTTGTATTTCTTTTCTGCCTCTTGCTGCTTCATGGCATGCCACATATTGGTGGAGGGCAGGGATGGTCTTCTATGCAAAGTAATGGTTACTAACATATGTCCTTCAGGGTAAAATAATGGTGGCTTACACAACGGCGTAACACAGGCCACAACAAAAGTATAAAGGAGGTGTCTGGCAAAGATTTCCTGAAGATGCTGAGCATGGGGATGATTTCAGATTTTTTTATTTACAGCAGCATTTAAGAGGTCTGTGGAATGCTCTGGGGCAGCAAAAAATACACAGGTGGAGTAAGGGAAGGACTAGGGCACATTAGCAGGTCCAAAATAACAGCTGCTATGCACCCTGGAGGAGGAAAAGGGGCAGAATGCTCTGCTAGATTAGAACTTGGCTGAATAAAAATTAGCTGCTATGCACCCTTGAGTAGGAGAAGGGGGAAAAGGGCACATTAGCAGAACCATCAAAAATGTAAAGGTGGAAGGAAGGTGGAAGAAAAATTCCACCACTGGAGGAGAAGGAATAAGTAGCTGATATGCACCCTCGAGGAGGAAGAGGAGCAGAAACATTCTGCTAGACTAGAACTTTGCCAAATACAAAATGGCCGCTATGTACCCTTGAGTAAGAGGAGGGGGAAAGGGCATGTTACCAGAAACAGGAAACATACCGCACTCCTTACCGGGCTTAACCTAAGCCTGATGAAGGGGACCCTGCGAGGCCCTGAAAGCGCTCGCCAATGAGATACAGCTATTGGCAATAAACTATTTTGCTTTTTTAACTTATGGTGTGCTGGTGACATTTTTCTATAGGACATGTTACCAGACCCATTAAAAATGGCTGCTATGCACTGTTGGGGAGGATGAAGAAAAGGGCACATTAGCAGCACTCCAAAAGTACATTTCTGCTACTGTATGTGCCCTTGAGAAGGAGGAGGAGAAGTGCATGCTATTTGCTGCTTGCTTGTCTCATTGAAGTGCAGCTCCCAAAGATGCGCAGATGCGTTGAAAAAGTCCCACGCTGCAGATATTTTTTTATTTGTTGCCTAATCAAGTGCTTGTATACTGTCCTGATGCTTGCCAATTTTTACCAAACATATCTAAAGCCTATAGTGTGAATATTTTTGAAATAATTGGGGATACAGACATGAGAAGGGTTTGGGTAGAAATGTGGGTTGTGGTTTAACCTCCCTGGTGGTATTCGAGAGTGTAGCTCGGGGTTACTTTTTCATACCATAAGCGGTAACCCCGAGCTACACTTAGGAATGGCGCATAGCATTTACTTACCTTGTCCCTCGAGCCGCGCTGTGTTCTCCGGCGGATGCCGGCATCCGTCTTCCAGGTTCCGTCCCTTGCGTGTCGCGGGGGGCTGAACCGGCAGGATATTAAAAGAAAAAAAAAACGAGAAAAAAAATAGAACTAAAAATGACACAAAAAAAATAAAAAATCATACCGCCAGGGAGGTCAAAGTAATTTTCTGCACTCTGTTTTGACTTTTTATTAAACTATTTTATTTTATTTGTATTAAGTACCATGCGGTACTATGAATAAAGAAGCTCACAAACTATACTGTTAAATTGTTGTGCCACTGGCCAATTTGTATGGCAAGTGTAAAGCTTTAGCTTAAATTTAAAAAAATAAAAAACTTTACTATAGCTCTTAGATCTGTTGTGGCTGCCACTTCCTCTGGTCAAGTCAGGCCTATTACTAAAAAAATTCACATGCAAAATATTTGATGCCAGAATAAGGTATCGCTGACAATGCCCATGAGAATTGTACTGTTCCATAATGCTACATACATCTCCTAAGAATGTAATTTAAAGGATTGTTGTTTTTCCCATCTCACCATTAAAGGCAATGTGTCCTCTTTTGACAATCCCTTGCACATTAGCTTTAGAATTGTCCAAAGTTGATTTTTAAGACCCCCCCCCCCCCCTTCAATGGTTTGACAAAGACTTTGTGAACCAAACCAAGACACATTTGCTTATCCCTAGAAGCACATGTTTAAGGCTGAAAACACAGCAGTGTCCCCTGTATTGCTCAAGTACATTATAAAAGCTTCAACAAGCTGATCAACCTTAACGGCACAATCACCAGGTATTATTGTAACAAAATCTGCAGTTTCAAAAATCCCTTTTGAAATGGCATATTAAAGCTTATACAACATTTTAATAATTGGATGTACCCATACTATATACAAATATGCAATAATCTGATATGAGTTAATTCAGTTTGCAAGTGGTGTTTGCTGTGAATGGTTGGGAAGTGAGTCTTGCATAAAGTTTTTAGTTTTGTTTTTTGTGCAGTGCCTAAATATTTACCAACTGGGATGGCTAACCAACTTTTAATGACTAATGTATCTAATTCTATTTTGGGAATTTGAATTAAAAGTTAAATCAGTAATTAAAACCTGCTTATTAAACTTGAAAACAACTGAAGCCAGATTTGAAAGATCCAGGCTTTAGGCATTCAACACATACTGTCAAAAACTGTTGTTGACAGAAACAGTTACTGAATGCTTTTTTATAGTCACTGCATAATTCAGTTATTGCAGTTCTGTCTGTCCAACTTGTTTTTTTAATACTGTTATAATTAATGACTGTATAGGCCTCTTTACTGTTTATCCTACATTGTAAAATAAGACATAATGTGGAAATAACTGAAGAAAATTGTATATGGCTAAACTATTAAAAAGAAAAAAATATCACCTTTGAGACTCCTGTTGTCCAGTGAACCATGCTTGATGCTAAAACAACTTGTCCAGGCCACTGAAGAACCCATTCTTTTCTTAGAGATTTTGCATAGGCTTTAATAGACTGATTCATAACTTCATGGAGAGATAGTTTCATAATCTTTTCCACCTGCAACATCAAATATAGAAAATATGTATAATGCAAAAGCAAAAAATTTTTGACTTGAAAAACAAATTGCTTGGGTTGTTGTTTGAGTGTGATGCAAGTGAAAGCAGAGCCACATACAGAATTCACACCAAACCTATTAGCTTCATATGTTGTTAATACTGCAATTCCACTTCAGACAGTGCAACAGCTCATTTGCTCACACTTACATATACATATGCACATAACCTGCAAGATAAATTGTAATTGATTGCTTCTTTATTACATAGATTTTTATTTGTTACATTATATATTATTTACATGTTAGACTTGCCTTTTTATATTTATCTGGTTGCATTTTAGAATGACAGACACTGTATTCAGGAAAATAGGCAAAATATCAGGCTGGGCGCAAACCAATGGGATTGGTTCTCACGCTGCCAATGCTAGGAACCACGGGGCTGCCCTCTCAACCAGGCAGTCACTGGAATCTTGACAACATGCAACAAAATGCAGAGCAGGCGCCACCTCTTAGTGCACCCCGAAATACGTTAGCATGCCACCCTGTTGGGGTGCATCTACCACTATACAGCGTTCTTGGACCATCGGACTCTGTTATTGATATGCCTGGCTTCCTTTAGGAATAGTGAGTAGAACCTTTTTACTCTTTTATTTCATAATTTGGTCAATAAACATACTGCACTAGGAGCTGGTGCCTGCTCTGTGTTTTGTTGCATGTTGCCAAGACAGACACACACGTGCGATATAACAAAAAGTAAAAGGTCTTAAAATGTACAAAATATATGTTTTTAACAATTCATAGGTGGTAAATCACTGACAACAGTTGTCTCAGTATTTAAAATCTAGTTTATTTGGTGCCAGAGGCAAAATAAATAAAAATATATTCTATAGAATCTGTCTATGCAGAGATTTTTGCCAAACGCATTTAGCAGCGTAGCAGAATAAATATTTGATAAGTGAAAAACACAGTTACTTTTAAAACAATATAACAACTTATGTAACAAATAAGCCTTGAGATGCCCACAGGAAACAGAACCTACCTGAACTTTCATTTCACATCCTTGCATTACTGCAGTGTATTAGTCCATCTACTCCACTTTGATGGTAATATGATTTTTTGAGAACCTCATTGCAATGAAGCATGTCTATTCCCAAACATACTCATCATACTGCAGATGCCCTGCTGCCTCTCAACCACCAATTGGATTTAAGCTGGATTTGGAAGTTTAAATGTAGGTGATGATTAGGTAATCAGAAACAAAGGAGATTATAGAGCACATACTTCAGAAAGAATGTACCCAGTGGCTGTGCACTGCTCTCTGAATTTTTGCTTCAGATCTTGAATTAAGCGCCTGCTATGACATCATCAGTGTGACATTAAAATGTATTGACAGGTGCATTTGACATGCCTCAAGAGGGTTTTGCATTCCCATAGACTTATGAGGATGCAAAACACTTCTGATGCCAGTGAAAGCCCCTCACAGGTCCTCAAGTAAACTAAGAAAACGTTCTACCTTTAAATTAGTTTCAAAAATTGAATACATTCATTCATATATTCAACTATATATCTCTTTCAGATTTTAAACTATACCTCTCTGAAACATTAGATTGGGTTATTCAAGATCAAGTGTGCCAATAATCAGGCCCTTTTTTCATCACTGATTATGTAGGCACAGGACTTTTGAAGCCCTAGTTAACATAGCTCTGCTAGTTTTACCTCTTTACACATAGGGGTAATTTACTATTGAGCCAAAGGATACAGCCGTAGCTGCGGCTGATCCTTCGGCTCTCTTCGGACCGGGAGCTCTTCGGTTCAGTTGAACCGAAGGGTTGCTGTACGGGCTATTCACTGTAGCAAATTACCTGAGGACGCTGATCTGTCGTTAAACAATAACAACTGGGCATCCTGGCCAGCTCCGCCCAGTTATTATTCATTGCCCAGGTCCTGCTAGAAGACTCTGGCAGGTGCCGGCCAATAGGAAACAGTTGGGGGAGCTAGCTTTCATTTTCTCTTTTCTTTTTTATTTTCTTTAAACTATTTTAATTTATTTTTAATTTTCATACATTTTAAAACAATGTTTCAACTTTTTTTCTTTTTAAAATGTATTTCACTAATTTTCTATTCTGCTCGGTACCTCGGAGGCTCGGCGGCATTCAGCTATTCACTCACTGGCGTTCGGCCCCCATGAGCATAAGGGCGAACAGCAGCGAGAGAGCTGCCAGAGCTTCGGATCAGCTGATCCAGATGTTGGATCGGTTGAGTCAAACACCTTCTGCACTTCAGCACTACAGAGGGTCCAAATGAGATTTGAATGTCTAACAGGGTTATTCACAAAAGGGTGAAGAGTTTGGAGAAGTGAACGATCTAGGACTAAATAGATGATATTGAACAATTCTCCAATTCAGCTCACTTTCCAGTTCAGCTCTGTTGCCCTAGATTGTTCACTTCTCCTGACTTCTCCAAACTCCAAGCTCACTAGACATGTAAATTTTTTTCATTTTGAAACGATAGTCGTACGAATTTAGTTAAATTCGGACATTCGGATGCTTCCAAATGTCCAAAATCAAATGCATCCGACATGTTCGTTTAAAAATTCTAATCTGTCCAAATTTCATTCAAAATGAAACTGTTCTCTGGCCAATAAGATGTTTTTTTTTCTGCTGTTGGGGATGGCATTACAGGCATGGTCATTTGACTTCCTGTTGTGGATCATTCCTGCATGAAAATTAGGACAGATACAAAATCAGAATAACAAATCGAATTTTGGATCTGAAAGCCAAAGAATGAAAGAAATAAAAATCTGAATTCATCTGAAACGCAACAAGATTATTTTTTTTGCAGGCTTACATGTCTAATGCTCACTTAACTTTGTGAATAAGGTGAAGCTGTGTCCTCTCCGTCACATGCAAGCAAAAGTCCTGCTTTTCATTTGCTTTCCACATTATCGGATATTCTAAAACAAGTTCAAGTTATTTACCAAGCAAAGTAAACATTAATTTTGTACAGGGAACATACACTTTGTTAGTTGAAAAGTCTCTTTTTCTTTGATAAATTAACCCCCATTGCATAGCATACAATGAGATTGTTATTTAGAGCTTCATCTGTCCTTTTAACCACCTCCCGTCCACCGAACATGCAGAAACAGACAGACGGGAGTCTACTGGCAACGGGTGGGTGTCTTAAAATGTCCCACATGCTGGCACCCGCTCTCGCACGTCCCCTGGCGCACACTGTGGGAAACTGGCTAAATTGTAAATGGCCAGCAATGGCTGTTTACATACAAGCAGTCTAGCATCTGTAAAGATGCCCGATCCCTTGTATGAGGTACCTCTCTGTGCCTCCCTCCCTCTCCTTACTTCTCCTCGCTGTCACCGCCGTTTCTGCGATCCCAGGCATCCAATCCGGGACTAGCAGTGTGGCTCCATGCAGGGAGAACAGAGGGAGATCAGTACATGATCTCCCTCCAATTCCCTCCCTATTCTGTGAATGCAGAAAGTGATGTTTACTACATAACATCTGCATTCAGCTGTCACTCTCCGATTACAGAAGCCGGAGAGAAGCTGATGATCAGATCTCTGCTTCATCAGCTTCTTTGGGGGTCCCTAGATGATATTAGGGGTCTTAGAGACCTCTGATGTCTCCATAAAGGGGACCTGTCACTGTAATTTGATATCACAAAGGGGGATTCTTAGCCCCCTATATGATAACAATAAAGTGTAAAAAAAATTGGTCACAAAAAAATACATTCACTCACAAAAAAACACAAAAAAATGTTTTTAAAGTCCTACACAAATAGTATAATAATTCATGTACTATTATTAATTAATTTGGCACTTTATAGATGCAGCCTTATCCCAGGAACCCTACTGTGCTGAGTGCTGACTGGTACAATGTAACAGTTTATACACTTCCACAATACGATCATCTTAAGTGTTGATTTTATTGTACCTTCATAGACAACTTTTACCCTGCTACACCAGTGACTAATGATTTTTGTTGTCATGCATGTTTATGCAAATTATGTAAAAAAAAGAGGCCAGTTTAATCTCCACATGATTAACACTAATCATTTTTGCTTCATCCTTATAGGCTTACCCAAGAAAAAAAAGGCCAAATAATAAATAATCTGTAGCTCCTACAATTTGGCCTTCCCACGTATTTTACTCTGCATGTTTAATTTTCGAGTCTTTGACTATACAAAGAAACATTCATATTGCTCTATGACAGGTGTAGAAGACAGGAGTGCAGGTGAGGTCATGAGATGGCATAACTTGGACAACAAATGACAAGTTGTGCATTCTGATAAACCTCTTTCATCACCGATGCTGTACTCAGCCATTAGTTGACTGACTGTAGTCCATCTGTTACTCTACACAGCTGCTCTCAGAAGCTCCCCATGGTTCCCTTCAACAGCCTTATACACTGTAAGCCTGAAATCATTGCAATAAATATATTCTGTCTTCATATCTTTGTTTCTGTTATCTTGTCTCCTAAGAAAAAAAATCTAGGCTGTATAAAATATGTTTGGAAATTATGTGATTACCTCATAGATCTTCATAAAATGGAAAAAATTTTTGTTCTCTAACAATTGTCTTCAAAAACACAACTAGAGCAAATGCAAAGAGTAAGAACTTTACAAACTTGTTAAGAATCTCAGTAGATGTCTCACTGAAATTAAATACAGATTGCTCTCACAATATAAGCGCCATAATAATATTTCTTTGAACGGTCACTTTTTGTTTAACCTGATTCCCACAAAATTCAGTTTCATTATCCTTTCTTTAAACAAATAATATATTATCTGAAGTTGGCTGAAGCTTAATGCTGAATGTCTGTGTTTTTTCCCCCATAATGTCAAATGTAATACAGCAACTATTTTTGACATACCGTTGAAAGCAAAAATTCTTAACGTTTCCGCCAGACTTTTCAAACTTTTTTTGCATTTGTCAATTAATCTTTGGGAGCAGACATGAGTTACTGTATAATTAACTTTCTAAAGAGC